ATATGAGCATAATTGTTATATTACTAATGTAGTTTTCTGTGATAAGCATAAAGCATACCAGTCATTTATAATTCCATAAAGATACTGAAAAAATACTTTTAAGGAATATTTGAATACAGTTTGTAGGAATAATGTTGTTTGATTATATAGTTTATATATATACTGTGTTATCTTCATTATGTATTGCTGAGTAACACTTAATGCCTAAAGTTGTTTAATTTTGGGAATGTATACACCTTACCCTCTGATATCAACCCTAATTGGTTGCAGCATTGAAGACTTGTTACACATTTTTTGATTGTTTGTTGGGCAGATGGTCTACCAATTTGTTTTGTAAGAATTTTCCCCTAAATACTCTCTGCAAGAAGATCCCCACCAATATTGCAAATAACATTTAGAGAGTATAAAACAGGGAAATAATTTCTGATGATATTGCAAGTTTAAAACAAAATAAATGCTGAATTTGTTGAGAAGATTAAACAAAATATGTGCTGGAATTACTGAGAACATGAAATATTGTAGAGCATATAAAAGACCTTTAGAGTTAATTTCTGGCTGAATGAAGCGATGAGAGAGTTGACAAAAATCCAGCACAGGGCTCACTGGATTGCATTGCCACAATTTCAGCTTCCATTCTTTGCTGGTCAAGAGTATGCTTGCATTTCCTTGCACAATTGGTATAATGCCTAGTGAGTAGTGCATAATTTTAAATGCACTGAATTTTGTGTGTTAGCCAACTTAGGTGCAAAGAATTTGTCAAAGGAGAGGGCATGATAGCAGAGGGTTGTGTGTAGTGGAATATATGGCCACAAATATGGTGTAGTTCATGAAAAAAAGAAAAGATGAAAGACAACAGAAAGTACTTGTTTCATATGAGGAATGTTGAGATGTTCATTTTTTTGTTATTGTTTTCTGAAACGTTTGCTGCATCTTTGTTGTTTTTGTAGAGAGTTCAAAGTCTGTTTTAATGAACATTTCAGATTTGTAGTGGAAAAAAAGTTCTCTTGGCCAAACTAAGGGGGCTTTACACACAGGTGATTAAAAAAAGAAAATTAGGAGGGGGTATTTTTTTACATTTATATTTTACTCCAAATCGACAGAATGAGGCTTGTCATCTGAGCCCCATTCTTTCTGACTGTGATATGGATTCAGCCAAGAACATCATGGAAATGGACATAAGAGCATTATCGTTGATGCTTCCTTTTCATAGTATATTTCCACGATCTAAAACTATGTCTGTTTTTGACATGAACTTTTATTTTCTTATTACTCACTGTTAAAGCTTTCAATCAAATATATAAGCCTCACCTCTACATGTAAATTTGAATATTCCACAGGCCGAAATTTCATATCACAAGCTTAAAATTGTTTTATGGAAAGTCTGAATAGCTATATTTTTTATAATAGGTTTATGTAATAAATGTTTTGTGGATTTGTTTGCTTTTCACAATTAACCATTATGTAAGAGATAAATGATGTTCATCATATATTCCAGGCTTTTATCTCTGATTTAATACCTTAGTGGCAACTAGCACGAGATTTGGTTTGAATATTTCGAGTAGTCTTATAATATTTGCATAAACCAGTCTTTAGTTGATTTACTTGGGGCTAATTTTGAACTCAGAAATATATTTTTTTCAATTTTCTGGTCACGTCGAAAACATTAATTATAGTGAATAAAATGTAAAAGGTAAACTAAGTAGAAAGGTTTAGTACAGTTTGCTAATCCCTTTGCTATCATTATATATAGCAATCATTGGAGATATGCTTTAATGGCACCCGTGTACTTACCATGTTACTATACATTGTAAAAAGTCATGATCGGCACATGTTTTTCATTTGATTTTTATGTATTTTCTTTTCACCTGTTTCTTGTCTTATATTTAACCAAAATGGTTACTTTTAAATATCTGTTATATTTTTAAGGCTATGCTCTTGACAGATGTTCAGGTAACTTGATCAGTGTAAAATGAAAAAAAAAAATTAGAGAATATTGGTTGAATAATGTTTTGGTATATACAAGTACAACCTTGAAAAACACTATTAGGAAGTGCATGTAACTTAGTCTAAAAAAAATATTTTGGTAATGGATCACACAAATTCAGAATATTTTGGAAGAGGTCCTATATTTCAGGCATTAAAGTGCAAGTAACATTTTAGAAAACAGGGATCTTGCTGAATGATATAAAAGGTGGTGACCTATATTAAACATTGGTGGGGCAGAGTAATACTACTTAAATGGCTTCACACTTTATAGTTGAGACTTTACACAAGTAGAACAGAATATGATATGAGACTGGTCAGTGCAGTGCCCGAGTAGCCATTCACCCGGCGAGGACAGATTGCAGTGGTAAGCAGGGGTCCATGCAGTACAGGAGCAGGCTGTCTCTGTGCCTGTCTCGGGTTACCATTGGTGAAAAGTGCCCCGACACAGGAAATGTGAGGTCAAGGCAGTTGCGGCTCCCAGATGCGTGGGTCGCGGATGGGAGCGTGGCGTGGG